AGAATGTTCAGGATAGACTTAGTAATTGTGATATTACCAAATCTCCTTCCATGCAGAATTTGATCGATGTAATGGTAATGTTATCTATGAGACCAGCAGATGTTGCAACTCTTCGTATTGATCATTATCCATCAAGTTATGAAAAATGGTATGATCCTAAATATTCTTGGTATTGCACTGGCTACGCCAAAAGTCAAATTAATGAACCATTGCCATTCTTTTCAATGGAAAGGGATCCAAAAAGAGCAATAGAACTACTCACCTGGATCCAGAAGGCAATTTCAAAGACTTTTCCATTTCTGTTAAAAGGTGAAAATGGTTATGTAAAAGTTTATCCATTTAATCGATTCTTGATTCCCCATGATATTACCTCATATCAATTAAGAAAATTTGGTGCTGATCATGCATCAAGAGCTCATGGTGGTAAAAATGATTCTTGTCGTCAAAAATATCGAGATCTAGCAACGCGTCATAAAAAAGGATATAGAGCCACAACACGGCATTATGGTGTAATAAATGACAGACCAAATATTCCAGCACCTAGACCAATCACCCCTATGATTAAACAAGAATATATCGAAATCGAGGATATCATTAATCTATATAATTATTGATCACACTTCTTTGCTTTTGCCACATATGCTCTAATTCCACCCTCTTCATCACTAGATGATTCAGAGCCAGACCCAGACTCAGATGAAGACTTAGATGCGGTATTTTTGGAAATAAGCTTCTTGTATCGTCTTTTAGCTTCACATGAAATGTGATTATACTGAGAGATATCCGGGTTTGCTATCGCATTTATAATATCTTGCTGAATCTCGGGTTTCACTATCTCTAGTAATTGGCTGAGAGAAATCTGAATTTTTTTACCCGATACTTGCTTAACAATACCGGATACCACACTATTATTATTCTGAGATTCGTAGAAACTCCCAATAACTCCCGCTTCCAATTTTTTAGCAAATTCTTCGGTTATAGTTGACCAGTTAGTGTCTGAATCAGTAGTAAGTTTAGTCGTGTCGATATCATAATATTATTTATTAATATGCTGGAAAAAATACATTATTGAATATATATTATTAATATAGAACCATAATGATAACTTTATCCTGCGAAATCAGGAATATCCAGAAAATTCAAAGTGGTATATAATGTCCATAGTATCCACTCCTAAAAATTAATTATCTAAACATTAGTTATTTTTTCACGGTAATATATATCATTAAATATACTTAACATGTTTGTAAATACCCTCGTTGAAGGAAAAATCCTGGTCAAAGCGTTGATAGATATAACATCTAAATCTAATACTATTAGCAAACACTTGTTCGATAAGCTTGAATCTGATCACGGATTAAAAGGTGTAGTTGGTGATGATCTGATAGGCGAAGAAATAAAATGCTTAGATTTACAGTTTCGCATTAAAAGAAAGTGGCAAAGCTTAGGTGATACTGAACTAATAGACTTTCAAATTCGCAAAAATCCATCATTCGATCTAATGTTGGGGCAAGATTGGTTATGGATGCGTGAAGCAAAAATAAGCTTTGGACATTCTCCCAAAATCTGTGTCCGCCATGCTAAAATTGTAATAGATGGTATGAGCATCCCATTAATTGATGGGAATTTTAACAAAGCCAGCTCCACTAAAAATAATTTATCTAAATTAACGGAATCTAAACCTGGTCTAGCTCAAGAGGAGGTTATAAATATAATTAACAAAATTCTCTCAAATATTGAAGATAGACTTGAAGGGTCATTGTTTTGTAATAATAAGCAATGAAAGAAACGTCATGGAATATTTCACAACAAATCTGAGACAGAGACTAATTCATCCAGCTCTGATTCAGAATCCATGGTTTCAGACTGGTATGATCTCGATCCAATAAAATCCTGAAAGAATCGTGTTCATATTAAAAAGAAAAAGGTTGACTCTCCTATCCGAAAACATCGTAAAAAAAAGCGTGTCAACTATGTTCACATTCCAGAGTAGTGATCCCTCCAATCAGAATAATTAAAAAACTGTTAACGGTCAGAAATTTATCAACCAATCACATCATGGGTAGGATCAGCATAGAAGTTCGTGGAACATGTGATTATCGTTATTTTTTTCGTTTAGACTGGAAAATATCTCTAGCATTACACATGCTTTTACGATAAGGGCGAGCGAAAACGAATCTTGAAAAGGTAATAAGGGCAAAGAGCCCGTTAATTCCTATCAGTACCGTTATCAGAAATTATGAGTCATAGGGGTTCGAGATCTTCGCAATTCCGGATCGTCATTGCGATTAACCAACTTCGTGCAATCGTCGAGCTAAAGGGGTTTCATTCATGCGTCTATGACTTAATGCTCAGCATATTCACAGGCTTTGGCATATGACAACACTTTCTATGGAGGCTGAATCGTAACAGGTTTACTTATGATTTGGTAACAGTTAATTTCATTATTTTCAGGGTTCGGAGATTTGCTTGATAAAGTTAAGATCCCTATTGCGAGTTTCGGTTTTCGTGGGTAATATAAATAAGTAGGTTTGAAAAGACTTTGTTTCCCACCCCACAAATTTTTGCCACTTTGTACTAACTCACGGTAAAGGTATGTATTTTTCGCAAAAAGGGCTTCAGAGTGAAATTCTACTTACAATGGATCTTCATATTTAGGAAACGCAATAATGGGTACTATTAATCTTGAATGTCTTATTAGTCCCGTTCACGCATTCGCTGGTCTTCCAAGAGATGCTGTTATTCAAACAATTACAATTCCCAGTGGGGCGAGAGATGATGATCTTGAAACTGAAATTCGGAACCAGTTACCACCTCAATTTAAAAATGTTCCTTTTATTATTCGTGCATTTCACCCCGGACCTGTAAGATATAGAGTTGTGCAACCGCAAACTTTGATTTCCGATTATTTTAATGGGGGTCCTCCTGCAGGTGTTATTCACATTCTTGTAGAATCTTAAACAGAATGTATATTTGTAATGGCGATATGTATTCGCAAATTTCTTTTTTGTATCTGCCTTAGTATAGGCAATGTATTTCGTTTCGTAATAAACAAATAACGATTTAGTCGTGTCTTATCTCCAGATCATTCGTGTAACGTCTATCGCATGTATATAAACCATCGATTATCTAAAAACAGATACGATAAAAATTTTCATTTTCGAGCATTGCATTACCTAGCTTTTCTCAGCAGGATACATAAACCAGATTTTTCCAACCACATCTATATAAAAATAGCATCATGTCTTCACACGTTTCTTCACCTTCCTCACCAGTTTCTACATCCTCCACTTTGACGGAAGAAAGGTCAACTCGCACGATGGCAGACGTTGTTAAGGATCTAGATACGGAAGAACTTATTGATTATTTACAGAGGCGAGATCTAAAGCTTAAGGAGTCATATTTCAAGATTTTTCGACAGGAAGAGATTACTGGTTCTGACTTCCTTGACCTAACCGAAGATAAGTTTCGAAGTATTGGCTTTGCATTAGGTCCAGCAACGAGGCTTGCAAAATTCATCAATGAGATCACTGAACAATAATTAAGAAGCTTCTCGTCATATAAAACATTGGAAGAACTGAAGGACGTACTCCGTAAATACAAAGTTAATGGGGAGGATATAACAAGCATCAAACAATTCAATCCGGGTATGTGTTTCTTTATTTTATTTTTTCTTGACATTTTTCCTTCCGGGCCGGAAGAGAAATTTCTTGGCAAAAGCGATCGGCATGAAGAATTGTTCACGCATACATAGATTATATGTTAACGTTTTTTCTATTGTATAGTTTTCGAGGAAATCGATGATGATGACAAAGCACTCGAACAGTGTATGAATGAAATAACATTAAGGCTTACGAACGTAAAATCAATGATAGAGGCCAATGAGGCTACCCGATGTGAATTTATTTCATCAATCTTGCACGCATCAATCGCAATCACAAGAAGGCTAACAAATAAAGAAATCAATATTGAGTTGCAGAGGGATATTTCGGGTGAAGAAGCGTCTGGTCGAGTCGATTACGCAATAACTGGGATGGAAGATCTTTTGTGTATCACTGAGGGCAAGCCACGAAACATCAAGATAGGCTATCTCCAAAACATAAAACAACTCGAGAGTTCCTTTCATATGAACAAGAAGAAGCGAACAGCAGATGAGGCATTCAAGGGTGGGGATTACGACTATCTATATGGAATTGTGTCAACAGGTATATAAAAATTTCTGCTGATTTTTTTGCAAATTATACGATACTAATCATCAGTTTATTTTTAGCCATGGATTGGCATTTCATCATGTTCACCTCTGACGGGATTTTCTGTACAAGTAATAGCGAATATCAGATAAATCTTACGAAAAAGGCACTTAAGGGAAATCGTGAAAATTTGAGGGATGATATAAAACAGGTAATCGGTATAATTGTGGGTTTATTGAAAGATAGGGTAACTGCATGTGATGAACCCGAATCTAAGAAGCGACGCGTTCAAGAAAAAATCACCAAAAATTTACAAAGTAATGGGTAGATAGTTTTCTGCCTCATATGTATTTTTGATCTTGTATCAATAAAGAAAAAGTGATCTCCAGATTTGTAGATCATGCATAACATATTTCGTTCTAATTCCGGGATATACAATTTTGTTGATTAATGTAATTTCGGCTTATATACTAATTTTGTTTTAGCTTCAGTACGTAGATATATAGGTGAGAAGAGAATGCCTGGGGATGCTCCATTATATATAAAATTTCGGCAGTATCTGGTATATACCGAAAAATGACAACTGAGGAAGCACCCAAAGATTCGTCCACCTCCAAGAGCGGTGCTGATGCTGAAGTCTTCCAACTTGAAGCACTTTCCTTAAATTACCTACGAAGCCAAAATATTTCAGTAATTCCGGACGATAATCATATACCAAAACTTCGCTCATGTAAGCTCTGTAATAAAGCCATTCTTAATTTCCGATTCGAAGCTTTTACGGTATTGTGTTGTGGGCACCTGCTCCATCGAATCTGTCTTGAAACCTATATTATGCAAGGAGGAGTACGAAGTCCTTCATGCCCAATCTGTAATTGGGATATCGAAATTAATAGAGAGGAACGTGGGCTTGCTTCTGGTGAATGTTTTCTGGCACCTAAAAGTTACGATAAGGGGCAGGCTTCCCAACAGTCTAACGTAACTATAGAGGATGATGAAGGCGGATTAGAGATTATGCGAAGTATGGGGTTGATAGAAGAGGACTCCGTTCCAGCTGAGCAAGTCAGTAAGGATGATCAAACGACAAGTTCTATTGCGGATAATTCTATCTTTATGCAAGATCAGGCTATTATGGACAAAGATAACAACGTTTCGCAAGAGAATTCCGGAAATCAGACTAACGAGAATAATGAAAGTACTACCAACGTATATATTATGCCAGACTCTACGAAGCAGTTAAAACCCTCCAATTCTGAGGATCAGTCAAATGCAAATAATGAAAATGATACCACCATGGAAGAAAATGATACTAATCAAGTCCGTTCATCCAGACAATCATCTCCCAAAATTGCCCGTGATCAAGATAAATTACTGGGTTTAATACGAGAACTATCTACACCCGTCAAAGGCGAGACTGGTGAGATCAATACTGGGGAAAGCGAGAATTCTTTAGCCCGATTATATCAAAAAGCACTTAAAGCTGAAAATAGAGTGACCCAGGCCTATCAAGAAGAAATTCGGTGCTGGTACTATTACGCTGAAGAGTTTGAAAAAAAGGTTATGGGTATCAGAGATAATGACAGAAAAATCGGCGACCAACAGGCTAGGACGAAGGTATATGACGAAATTAGGGATCATCTATCCGGTATCACGAAAGTTACTCTGCGTAAAAAAACTCAAAGAGCTAGAGCAATTTATAATCTGTTTAAGAAAATAGGTGTAGAAAAAATTAAAAGAGTTCATTCTTATAGTGCCGATTCTCTCAGATGCAAACTATTATAGATAAAATAACGAATTCCTTGCCGATCGCGTGATTACTGCGCCTCATATCGAATAAATAAATTAAGTTTTTATCAATATAATTGGTTGGGCCGAGTGAACCTTCTTCAAAGCTACGTTTTTTCCAGGAGAAACAGAATACCCGTTTTATAAATAAAAATGTACCTTTTACCTAATTGTATCGACGATTTGAAATACAGTGGTAAGAAATCTGTACTATTATCTCCTTATGACAATGCTTTACAGCGTAACGTGTTTGTAAAAATATAGACTTTTGGAAGGACACGGAGGAACCTTCGCTTAATAAATTCCTGAATTTCCGATTACGCCAAAGTAATTTGGAAGATAGTGAAGTGGAGCATCGTCGGTACAAGGATGAACTGAAGAGTATTAGGAAATACTATGATGAAGAATCTGAAATTGGGAAGAAAGTGTTGATATGGAAACAAAAGTTCAAGGCAAGTATAAGTTTTATTTGTTGATTTGACACTATGCCATCGCCAACTACCTTGTTGGTTGCTTACTGGCAGGGGAAAGGTTGCTTACTTGTTGGTGTGTTAGTGTGTAGTGTATTCGTACTGTGTTGTCACAAACTACCATGCTGGTTGCTTACTGGTAGTGGGAAAGGTTGCTAACTTGTTTGTAGTTAGCTTTATGTTATTTCTTACATGCAAGTTAGGATAAAATTAATAAATCGCCATTCTCTCTTTCTCTCTTTAAAAATTAATATTTATAAGCGCGATAAAAACTCGGCAGAGGTAAAACTTTTCTGGGAATTACAAGCGAAAAAACAAGATATTTTTAAGGAGATCAGATTACTTGAGGAGAGATGCAAGTTACTTGAAAAGGAGCAAGTATGTTGTCCTTATGATGTTTTCGAAGTTTAGTGGCTTTCGTTTATGACAATACTTCATAATGTCTGCAAATAGACCGAAATGGAGAACAAAATGTGCCTTAAACAGACCCAACATATTTTGGATGCGACGAAGAAGACCGTAGATCAAGGCATTTCATTACAAACATCAATTATAGAAAAATTTAGGAAACGTGTGCTGGATGAGCCGTATGCATTTTGCGAACCACCAAAAAGGAGAACCAAAGTCACTAATGATATAATCGCAGAATCTCATTCTGAATCTAATGAAAAGACAGATATAACTGAAGATAGTGAAATAATCGCAGAATATCATTCTGAATCTAATGAAGAGATCGATACAGAAGTGATTAACATAACTGAAGATGATGCAGAAATCAAGAGTCTTACCGAGGTATTTTGGCATTTGCTACCTTGTACATATAATAACTATGCTCAGCTCACTCATACTAAATCTCCTAGGACGAAGTAGAAATCCGTAAAAAGTTATTCAAAATTCTGGTCGCACGCCAAGAAAAAGACACGAAAGTCGGAAAAGATTTTTTGACATCAGTATCCCTTAACGGTATTATAGATTTATCAGACGATGAGACGCACAAACAGATTAAAAAGTCCTTGAATAAGGATCAAATTTCTTGGCTTGAAGGGGTCCTCCAGAAAAAAATTTGGAAACCTACTCCGGAATTTACGGAATATATCAACCAATTCACGGAAGAAACCTGTACTCGAACCAATATTCCAACAATTGTTCGCAAATCCTGTGTTACTGGAAGATTTGATTCTTTTTATCACGAAGCGCATGATATTGCCCAGCATATACTAACACATTTGTAAGTATTCTTATGTTGACAGTTAACATTAATCAAAAATCCTTATGATTAATTTTTTTCGAAAATAGCTCTTTACGCTTAGAAGCACCAATGAGAGTCGAGTACAAAGGTCTCAATTTAGAAAGAACTTATGCTATAGACACAATAATTTACATTTTAAATAGGTTATTTAGGATGTACCAAGACGAGTTGGATGTTGCTTGGTAGGTATCAATCTAAATTTTAAATTTTAAATTATAACCTTACTAATTAATTGATTTCTTTAACTAAGGATTGAACAAGTTACTCCAGATACAAAAAAACATAAATTCGATGGGTTATATAAAGTTATTAGCACAAGAGGCAAAGGTCAAACTATCGTCATTATTGAATTTTCACGTGGAAGAACAACTCCCATGTCCAAGAGAGATGGTGATTCGCTTAAGCTTTGTCGAAACGCTATGAGAACCTTAAATGTATTGTTAGGAAAGGTACCCAAGGAGCGTGCACGCATTTACTTAGTGCAGTCATTTGGTAAGTGATTATAATTGGGAGTTAGATCGTACAAAATTACTTTTTTGACATATGTTTCTTTATAGACGGATTTGTTGAAATTAAGTATTTAATTCGACCACTGCCAAAAATCTACATGCTACAACAATTCGGACGCATCAAAATACCTGTCACCTTTAGTGATTTCGAACAGTTTTCAAGGGACATAATATGTTTGATGGATTGGCAGGTAGAGTATTGAACATACTTGTCGATAACTTTATCAAGCAAATAATAATTTTTTTTTTCTACAGACAGATGTCTTGTCAACAGCCAGAGCAATAAATAAAGCAACCACTAATGTTATGGTAGATAATAATAATATTTGCATAACTTCGGTAGACGACACTCCACAAAAGAAAAAAGATAAAAACCAACCCTTACCGAAATCTCCGTCTCCCGATTCCTCATGTCCCAGTTCTCCATCTCCCGGTTCCACTTTGACGAGTCGCGATTTGATGCGTCATCTGGATTCACCACTTCATGAGAAAATCGATCTAAATGATTTAGATAATACACTATTTAGATCAAAAATTTCAAAAAAATGATATCGACTGCGATTTTACAATGTGAAATAAATTCAAAATTATATTTCGAAATCCGATCACTATTTCTTGTAATTTTATAAATAATGAAACGATCAAGTAATTGGAGTCTTGATTCTGTAAAGCTATTACAGAACACAAATGATTTGCAAAATTTTATTGAAATTTTTGGCGACGGGCCGTCGCTGAAATTTTTGTTACTTACACATTTTAAGATATATACAATCTATTACTAAACATGCAATCTGAAATTGATTTACTAAAACAACGAATTTCTGAGCTTGAAGCCGAAAAGGCTGAGCTTGAAGTCAAGAATGCTGAGCTTTTAAAACAGGTTACGGAAGAAAGCACCAAACGCGAAGCTGAGAATGTTGAGCTCAAAGCCAGGATCACCAAATTGGAACAGATCGCAGAAGAAAATACTGAGCTTAAAGATAGAATCACGAAATTGGAACAGAAACAGATGCAAGCTATTACTAATAAACAGGATCCATCTCCAACAAAAGATATTTCGCCACTTATCAAGAACAATTCTGAGGAGAAAGGTATCACCCCCGATCCCTTGCCTAAAATAGAATATAGCTCAACCCAACCTGAATCTTCAACGGAGCCTAAAACATCTACAACTTTTTTACCACAAGATATTATCCATGACGATTCAGCTAAGATCCTTGATTTTGTAAAAATGATACACAAGGAAAGGATTAGTAGTGAGATAAGAGAGAGGAACAGGGAAAAAAAACTTCAAGAATCACATAATAACTCAACTCCACCGATACAATTCGAAGTATCAACCATGTCGACACCTAAATCTTTGGACTCAAAAACTGTGAAAAAGCTTTGGGAACAGAACCAAAATAAAAACCAGGACAAAATATCTCAATCACACAAGAAAAAGGGAACAGAGAATATCACCCATGTGATAGCTGATGGCATTCAGGATGTACTTGTGCACAGCTCCGCTGATAATATTATTTCAGTTGAGTCGGAGACTCGAAGCTTTGCTTCCTCAAATTATGTAACTGAAATTTCAGCGATGACCCGTCGAAATTCTAATAAAATCTCATTACTCGATTTAGCTCAATTATTTGATAAAGCAACGAATGCTGAATATTATGCTACAAAAGCTAACCAGGAAGAAACCTTATGCTGGAATAACTATGGAAAAGAATTCGTAATTCAGTATAATGATCTTGTAAAAAATAGTAATGGAAAAATTGGTGAGAAAAAAGCTAAAGGTATAATTTATGATAAAATATTAAAGCACCTTAATATCATCCGTGAAAGAAGGTCCAAGGAAATGGGATTACAGCTCCCAGAAATTTCGCGTAAAACTTTATGCAAAAAGATCCAAAAGGCTGTAAGGACTTATAAATTATTCGAAAAAATAGACATAGATAAAATTAAGTATTTTAAAGCATATAGCGCAAATTCTATTTCTGAATTGACTAATGATCAAATACAAAATATTATCGATAATATTATCAGTAATGATGAGTCTAATATAGAGATGCAAAGTTCTATTTCTTCTGAAATAAATCATATGACAGAAATTTCAACGACAGCCCGTCGCCAAAATTGTGCAACTGAAATTTTATCTGAGGCAAGTATATCTATCGAAGAGACAAAATCTCAGCGTAAGCTGGTTAAAGGTCAAGTTTCAGACTCATCTGTTTCTATCGATTCGAAAACTTTACCAGAAGTTGAAGAAGGTTCATTTACTGAGAAGGTATCACCAGAAAAATTATCAGAAACGATTTCAGACGGTTCAACCGAGGCAAGTGTATCATCTAATCTAACTCATAACCATGTTTATTTCCGTAATAAAACATTAAAACAGTATCCTAATTTATATCGAGAAGATAGTGATGGAAACGATGATTATTATGGAATTACTGATGAATCTTTATGCCCGCTATGCAAGATAGATCATGATGATGATAATGGTATAGAAGGCAGATATGAAATTGGATCTTACTATATTAAATGTGAACAGCGTGGAATTGAAATTAAGGTAACTGCATAAACTTTATCTTATGTTAATACAATTCGCTTAAGTTTTTAGGGCGTCCTCTGGATATATTTATTTTTTTGTTGGCTATTGTATTGTGAAACAATGAGTTTCGCTGTAACAATTTTCACATACCCTTGTAATTTCTTGTATCATGTTTATCCTTTTTCGTGTTATGTTTATCATTTTTTTGCATAACATGTAGAATCTAACACAGATCTACATTAATACTTCTTAATGTTTCGCTAATTAGATTAGATGTGAAATGTAGATCATATTATTAATT